CTTCGATAGTCGTAGCATTAAGTACTATTATGAGGAGGATGTTCTGAGAACACGTCACAGATTAAAACACAACCATAAGCAATAAAACATCATTCTAAAAAACAGAGGACTTTCACATCCCCGAACACGGGATCTGAATTTGGAAGTTAGGAAGTTCATGGAGGGCTTATTAAGGTGACAACAACACCTACATGTATTGATAATGTCTCAATACCAAATGATCCGTTACATATTTTCTTTCTTAATGTATGTGGACTGAAAGGCAAGCTACATAACACTGTTTCTAAAACTGAAGTCACTTACTGTGTTTGGTATAAACAATAATAAATCAATTCCATCATGTTAACATTCCTGGTTCCAGATTATAAGGAAACACAGAGACTCTACAGGCCGTAAGATTTGAAGAATCCCTCTGTATATACAAGTGTACATACGTTCTCAGTTCATACTTTGCAGAAAATGGTGTTTGAAGACTTAAAGATCAATTTGTCCAACATGGTCATCTGAAATTTAAAACTCTAGTTAAGCCACTACATCGAGAATCCTGAAATCCGAGCTCTCGTTGGAACATTATTATAGAAAGCTTCTTAAAACCATTTGGTATACACAAATTCGCCACAGATTTCTAGTTCAACAAGGCAAACGGAATAACATAGCTCTAATCGAAAAAAATATGTAATCTATGCCATAATGTTTGTGATGAATGCACTTTTGTGTTGTGGACACTTTAGCGAATATAGAAAAAACAACTGTTGTCACCATACTTTTATGTTCAACCAAAAGTGTTAAAACGTTATTTCAAAGTAAATACAAATATGTACTGAGAAAGTTAAGCAAACTTTTTCTCCCTCCACTTTCACAATGTACATGTACATTAAAGGAGAATACTAGACATTTGCAATAGTTGTCTGGGTGACAGATAAAGTGTACCCGAGTTTTTGGTAAGAAAATATGGTTATTTATGTTTTAACAGTTTCTGTTATCTGAGCTTCGGCCATTATGCATATTCCGCTGGAACTCACGTGACCTTTTCGCTCGTGACGTCAAATGTGCCATATTGCCAAAGACCAAGCGCTGCAGTAATACAAAACGTGTTGTTTCTGTCGTCTTTGTACATGGTACAACAGTGTATGGTTGCCTAGGGATGCACGCTATCATCGAGAAATGGAAAAAGCCACCATTTCATCCGTTTTCCAAGTAAAAAGACAGATTTAGGCAGGAGACATGTTCCGATCATTTCGAGTCTGGCGCATATGAAAGAGACATGCACACATGAGGTATTAAAATCCAAAACCTAGGCTGAAGAAAGAAGCAGTACCCACGAGATTCATAAATACTACATCATTCCATGTTACAACTTACTTTCAGTGGTATTTTTAACATAGATTAAATCAAGTCCGATTGTGATGAAATAGGGCACCAGTCGAAAGACCCCATCTTCAAAATGCCCCAGCAAATTTCGTCAAATTGCCCCGGATGATTGGTCAAATTGCCCAAGGGGGTAGTCAAAATGTCCCAGTTTATTTATAATGATTAAATATATGCCATAAATGCATACAGTAGAACACGGATATAACGAACTCCAAGGGACCCAGAAATTTAGTTCGCTATATCCGTTGTTCGTTATTCACATTTGACCGCCATCTTGGATTGTAGGGATGTAGAGACATGTATATGCTGAGGCTACAAATCTTTATTCTTGTACATGTACATTGACATAACATTACAATTCTGAATTTTTCATTCACAGACATTAGCTAGAACATGTTTAACAATCACAACAATCTCAACAATACATGAATATAACTTAATTACGTTTAACAAAGTCCACAATTTTGCTCTGCACACCACGTCTTGCAGACTTCATTTTGTCAACTGCATCACAGACATCCGGGAGCAAATTAACAAAAGAATGTACAAAATGTAATACCTTTGCTAAAGCACTGTCGGAAATAGATAAAAAACTGTATTTTCTCATTTATCTTTACAATTTATGTAGTTGATATGTGCAAATGTGAAATATCTGTTAAACTTAGTTCGGCCTAACTACAGTCTCAGTGGTAGGGACATAGGAAACGTAGAAAAAGGTCTTTACAGAGGAGAGATTAGTGCAGAAATGAGCAAGGGGGGTGGGGGGTGGGGGGTGGTTAGTTAAGTCCAAAACGATTTATTTGGAACAGACCATGGCTTTATGCAAATTAGTGTGCAACGATATTGTATTACAAAGGACATTTTTTAAATGCCCAATTTGAAATTAGACGTAGCTTCATTATAAACGATAGCTGGCGTAAAAAATAATAACTTTCATGCTGAAACTATTAAGGATGTAGCTACCATGGAGTCTCACTGTCACTATATAACAAGAAACAGATAGGAGGGTTCGTCTCAAACGCACAACCTGGACGGGTGTCGCAGACGATCGTTGGGGTCGGGCTGGGAGGATAGAGATATCAGCTAAGATAAGATAATCCTGTAGGGCAATTATACTGGTGAAGTACACGGCATGTTCCCATTTCGCCTACATCCTATTTCGCCTACAGTCTTAAAACAACAATTCATGGTCTGGTGACTGTTATTTCATGCATGAGTAATAAGTTTACCCCCTTCAGATATAAATGGAATATCCCCTAGTTTTCCTTTAGTTTGATTAATAGCACATGTAGACAACATGTCTTTTTGCATTAAAATAAAAAAAATGTTCTTCTTTCATGTTTTTTTATTCACAGCAAATCATAGTACAATATAATACAATAATCAAAATAACACTGGCTGTTAACTAGTACACTGTACTTGAGTTCATGGATGTCTGAGTTTATTGAAGCTTCCATAAGTGACCTGCTGCGTCCAGGAGCTGAATAGGTGATCTTCTTCCACTTTCAAGTTGTTGTCTCAGTCGGTTGAGACACTGGTCAAGATCTCTGTAAGCTCGTGAGCGTAGCCGAGTTGTTGCACCATGGTCAATCTGAAGGCGAGTGATCTTGTTGGTGGATTCAATGTTCTTGATACCTGTTATGAATTCATAAATGTTCGGATGGTGCTTTCCCACAAGTTTTTTCAGACCATTATGGTGCTGCATCTTCCTTTACATCCCTGGATCACACACTTCCAGTGTGTAGCAACAAAATGATTAATATTTGTTTATAATCACAAACTGTTGTAAGTATGTCACTGCTACTTTTGATCTTCATAGCCGTAATCCTGAAGCCAATTGCTTATATAAACACAGATTATAAGCTGACTCCATTTAAAGACAATGATATACTTATCTTTTTACTCATACAATGTGAAACTGACCTTCCTTAATTCCACTAAGTCAAGTCCATTCTCTCAGTAGGGGTGCATTTTCTATTCCCTATTCGCCTACATGTTTACTGTAGGCGAAATGGGATGTAGGCGAAATGGGATGTAGGCGAAATGGGACTCAACCGAAGTACGCGGCATGTCAAAAAAGTTTACAATTAATATCCAGTCCTGTCGATCTTCGCGATCGGGTGGTCATGCCACCTATATATTTTGAGACATTTAATACGATGCGTTTCTATGGTTATCAGGTATCATACTGTTTTACATATCTCAACATAAACTTTATGAAAGAAAGACACGTAAGATGTTAATCAATAGATGAGACATAGTCAACACACATGAAAAAAGCACAAAATATCTTTGAGATGACCCCTTGTGCCTGTAGGCAGCACATGCATTTCATGCCAGGTGAGTCGACGGTCCGTCGTCATACCTGGCTGAGCGACTTAATTGCCACCTATAGTCTGATCTGTTGTTTTCAGCAGCTATTCCTATTTCTTCTAAGTTTTGCCCGATGTTACGAGTAAACATGCTTTTCTGGATATCCTATTACGCATCCCACTGAATGCCAAGTTAGGCCGAAGTGGGTTATTTCGACATATGCTATTTGCAGTTGTATAAATTTTAGGGTTACAGAGTAACAGCCTAAAAACAGGTTTTTTTCTATTTCCGACAGTACTTTAATGTTTACCATCACCATGTCATCCTCAACAGTGAATATGTACTTTCAGAGAGAGATAAATCTGTCTCACATATCTGCCAAGTTTAGCTAAAACTTTTTGAGTTATGCTCTGGAAACGAAGCCCACTCCTCCCTTTTGAGACTAAGTTTAAATTGTTTCCATGGAAACCGGGAAAAATAAAAATGCCAAAAATCTGTAAACAGCAAAAGGCACCACTTCAAGATCTGCCTCACATAGCTTAGCTTCGGGGGGCTTTAATGGTGGGAAAACGTGACGACACCCGCACGTGTCGCACATGACGTGAAAGCTAAGACACGGGGCTTTCGATCCATAGTAACAACAAAACCCTGTGGTCGATGTACGAAACATAGCAAGCACCTGCAACGTGAAATACTGCCGTAAATCGGGTCCAATCGGGCTTAAAAGCGCCCCAGCTTCGAACCCGTTAAAGACAGGTCACTTCTGATGATACTACCAGTTGGCCCTGGGAACCAGCTTCACGTCGATGTGCAACATGTAAATGGGTTGTGTATATTTGTCGTCCACGCGACGTATAAAAGATGCTCGCCGAGCAAGGCTATTTTCTTGGTAAAAAGACATGTCTATATCAGATGGCCAAATGGACGTGGACGTCCAACCAGGTGCCCCACGTCGACCCCGTGACGATCCCAGGTGCTTCATGCACGTGGCAACATTTTCATATATGATATGCGTGCATATGTTTCTTCTCCAACACTTTAACATAGACTTGCGATAGTCGTAGTGCTAAGATGATCGTAACTCCCATACTTTAACATAGACTTGCGACAGTCGTAGTGCTAAGATGATCGTAACTCCCATACTTTAACATAGAGTTGCGACAGTCGTAGCGCTAAGATGATCGTAACTCCCATACTTTAACGGAGCAACATGTTCTGCACCCACTCAACTGCTACATCGATACTCATGTGACATCAGACAATCTTTTTACTTTTGCAGGCACAATATCTCCGGTTGTAATTGGTGTTGCTGTAGGGGGGCTGCTGTTGCTCTTGTTATACTGATTGCAGTCATCGCAGTATGCATCAAGCGGAGACAGAGACAGAAGGTACGTGCATGTATCAACATTACGTATCTTGCTGTTCTTATTGAACACCGTAAGCTACCAAAGTAAGTATGATTTTGATTTCAGTGTATTTAGTGACAGTAAACGTTTCACGTATATATATGTTCATAATGTCCCCAGCCATTATGTCAGTCACTTGGGAATGTTTCATCACCATCACTTCCACTCTGCTTTACATTTAAGTCCATCTCTGTGCGTCTATTGGGACGAGAAAGGGAGCGACTAAATCTTTTATTGTTTTCCTGTGTGATTACTCTTCACCTTTTCTGCTTAAAATATCAGATAAATGGTCACATGGATGCACTAAAGCTAAGATATTTCAATTGTCAATGCAGTAAGTCATTCAATTACTAGAGGAAAAGCTATTTGAGCAACATATATCCTTAATTTTATCATAAATATTATATAAACATTTGTGCAAATATGTAATATAATGTTACACATTGTGTCATAGCGGAAAAATACCCTCAGCGACCCATGGTGTTTATACTTATTTCTATAGCAAAACATGTTGTCATTAACATATTGGAATTTAGAAAAAAGTTTAATACTAGAAATTATGAAAATGAGGGATCATGTGAAAGGGTTTGCTGATTTTCCCATAGACTCCTATGTTAAAAGTCTTTGATAACCAAAGAATCTTTAAGACTACATATCTCAAGAAAACCCACAGTACCTCCTGCTTTTCTGGGCTGGTTTTGCAAAGACAAACGTCATACTTTAAAAATATACCAATTAGAAAAAAAATGTACCATTTATATTACCAGCTAACATCCTTAAAACTAATAACAAAGCAAACACAACAATGTTGCTCCCCGCGTCAGGAATACAACCGACATAACAACGCTGCACAACCATCAGAACTCCTGTTAACTCACTACAACCTTGAACTTCTGGCCGTGTTGGGTGAAGGTCACTTCGGGAAGGTTTGGAAGGCCAAGGCCAATGGGATTCTACACACAGGTCAATGTGACATCGTTGCTGTTAAAGTATGTAAAGGTGAGAAGACATTCTGAATTTTGGAGTCAGTGAGTTAGTATGTTTTTACATCGGTTATGGAAATATTCCAGCAATATCACGGCGGGGGACACCAGAAATGGGCTCAACATATTGTACCCATGCGGGGAATCGAGCCCGGCATTCGGCGTGACAAGCCAACGCTTTAACCATTAGGTTACCCCACCGCCTCCTGAGTTTTGGAATATCGAGGACGACCTAACCTGGCCGAATAATCTAGCCGTAAAATGACCCCACGTCCATGTATTTATGTTAAATAGTTGTGGTACAAGTCCATATGCACAACATGGAACATCGTAGGCACAGGCTCTTGCACAATAGTCGATCTATAGAAAGTAACACATGTTATATTGGATTCCACTTTCCTAGTTTAGTAGTTTCCTTTCATGTTGATGTTTAATACAAATTCAAGGAGACTACAGGAATGGTGACGTGTACTTCGAGGGGACGTAACTTCATGTCTAACTGTTTAAAGAACGTGTTACTTCCTGTGTGTAACAGTATGATGTGTACATACTCTCTTGTATATGGGCCTTTTTTGACTGACTTTGATTCCACTTTCCCAGTGAAGTAGAGATTCTAGTACTTTTGTGTTGGCTTGAGTCTCATCCGGGATTCGAATCCAGATTCTCAGAGTCAGGCAACTTACAGCCAGCTCACTCACATCACTGACTTCTTGTGCTGGCGATTAGACGCCTGAGTCACAGTGCGGGTTCGAATCCCGGATGGACTCAACCAAACAAAAGTACTAGAATCTGTACTTCACTGAGAAAGGGTAATAGTAAATTTTGACCACTTTCTAAATGGCATAGTGTATTCTATAGAACGTCGAAGATTGAAACCTTGTAAGGTTAAAGAACAAATAAACTTCTTTTGTTTTAATCTTTTAACTATTACATATGAAAGATTGTGGTCAGTCTTATGCGGAACACCAAATTCATTCTTTAAAAACTTGTGGTTAATTAGAAACGAGCGATTAAAAGTTGCCAAAAAGTCGCCTGCTTCACTCTCGCCCGCCAACGAAACCACAAACAGGTTACGTAACTCTGTCGCCAGAGCACTGCAGTGACGTCATATGAGGAAGGATTTTCAGTTAGTTGTATAGAAAGTGTGTACCAAGCTCGTCATTTTGATCATTTCTCGACATCAACGAAGACATGCCAAATCGTTGCGTTGTCGTCAATTGGTCCTAGAGGTCAGGCGATGGTGTCGCCATGCACAGATTTCCACAGGACGCCGCAAGTGCGTGGAAAATGGTTGTGAGTGCAAAGCGAGCGTTTTGGAAGCCTGAAACGATGTCTTACTTGTGTTCAGATCGCTTCACGGAAGTTAAAGAATCAAAATTACTTACTAGTCGTAGTAAAATATGTATATGATTGATGACCATACAGATTTTCCATGACACAACTTGTAACATAACGATTTCTGTCTTAGAAGCGAGATAGTGGTCGAAGTAACAATAAAACTGTAAGTAGTGTTATATTGATATTCACCTCGCTTCCACGAGAGAAATTGTTATGTTAGTTATGTCATGCAAAATCCTATTGGCCATCAATCAAATATATATTTTATTTTTAGTAGAAAGTAGTTTTGACTTTTTAACTCGGTGAAAACAAACCTAAACAGCATTTATTCTCAGACTGGCGGATGTTCGCGACAGGCGCCGCCATTTTCGAAAATCGTGAAGTCACGGGCTAAAGTCTGTTAGAATTAATGAGATTATGGTTTGTTTTCATCAAGTAAGAAAATCAAAACTACTTTCTACTCGTAGTCATATATGTATTTGAATCATAACCAAAAGCATTTTTCATGACACAACTTATAACATAACGATTTCTTCCACGGAAGCGAGGTGGGGGGTCGACTGACAATACTGCGCGATAGATTTCTTTGCTACATTCACGTGGTTAACGTGCACTCACCAGTATGTAGATACTAGTCATTGTACGTCTTTATATTTGGTCTTATAATCCTAATTAGTTTATTATCATACTTGTATGCATTTTGAAACTAAATAAAAGCAGACGATCTGCTGATACTTATAGTGCATTAATAACAGGACTGTAATATCTAGACATTTTATAGTTTGCCAATGTGAATCATAATTCGCACACACGCCCTGGTGTATGTCTCATTACACTTCACGGCGAAAACAACGATTCTGTTGAATGCTACGACAATGAATAAAAACAAAATGCAAATATTAAAATTAAAACAGATGAAATTATTAGGAACAATGTCAGGCTATTACCTTGTTCGAGGAATGTATCCATCAATATCCACAAAAAACGAGTGATATGCCATTCATCTGCAGCTGTTCCAAGTAATGTGTCTTTTAACAGTCTAGTATAGAAAAAGTGATATATCGTTTCAGGTATGTCACATTGGTGTATAGTCTCATTGGTCACCCAAGATAGCACACCTGGCAACTGATTGCATAATGTCCGCCATTCTTTAAAAACGGTAATTTAGTTAGCCAATAATGAGCAATCAATCACTGTATTGGCGGTTAATCCTTTGAAGGGTGGACGTTGTTTTTACGCAGACACAAACACGACAGAGTGTATTCAGTATAGATTAGTAAATCTACATACATAAACACTACCTGTTGACAAATCCGCTGTGTAAGATAAAAGTAATTAATCAATCAGCGTGTTATCGGTTAATCCTTTGATCAATGTTTATAATGTGGAATATTTACTCCAGACACAAGAAATGCTAAATGGGAACCTTTGTCGGGTAATCTAAGTGGTGTTACTACTAATTATACCTGTTATAATTTCATTAACTGACCATCAAGTGAATGATGACAAATAACATGTGTAGGTTTATACCACCTAACACGGGTTACAACGAGGGAGTATTAATTGCTGTATTGCATGTGGAAACCCATGGGCCAACACTGTTTTGAGAATACAAACAGAACTTCATTGTTGCATAAGAAATACATATAAGCATTTGCTCTGTGCTAAAACTGTATGTACCTATTTACCTAAGTAAGATTTCAGATTCTTCTACCAATGGCAAAACAGGGTTGTTTAGTTTACCGATTCAAATAAATCAAATGTCAATTTTTAATATCATACGTAATAGACGTCATAGTTTTACATGACATGATTAAATATCGAGGTAAAAAAAACACAGAAATGGGATCAATAACGATGTTGACAGAATCGTCTATGAAAACAAGTTGTAACTCGGAAACTAGGCAAAGCAGGAGACAAACTTATATGACAGTAGATTGTGAGAACATATAGCTTTCATTTTCCACAACAGTTGTCACGATTCCAGGTTTATACAAACCTGTAAACAAGATAATTTACGCCCTAAAATGTAGATGAATTCTGCATCGGCCCTCATATCTATTCCTCATATGACGTCACAGAGACGCCCCGCTCTGATTGGTTGAAATTTCGTTCGCGGATGAGAATTGTGCACTGTTGTCAAAAAGGTCGATTTAAGTTGATTAAAGATCGAGGTGAGTAGTTTTAATGACGGTGTCTCATTTATAGCGATGCCAGTTAGTGAATTATGTTCAATTTGTTTCAATGTAGAATAAATTATTATCGGTAAAATATGTGTGATTGTGCAATGTTCATGTTTGCGATCTAAACTCCAAACCATCTGTTTCAGATAATGCATCTGAGGAGCGGTGGACCAACTTCTACCGTGAAATTAAACTGATGAAGTCTTTACCGAAATACTTACATGTGGTGAATTACCTTGGCAACAACCGCACACAAGGTATGATGGCGTTGGTCTGTTTGGTAGTACACATATATATGTTGTATGACTGGAATCAACAAGAAATGTCGATGTCAAACACAACAAAAATGAAACACTCTCCTCCTTAAATGAGTGAGCGAGAGAGAGGGTGAATTGGATTGTCTCAATGAACCGCAGAATAATTTCGGGGAGCAGCAGAAATGGAACCGAACGTTCGGGGTGATGAAGAAGCAGCACCTTACCTACGACAGTTTTTGTATCAAGGTTACAACATTCAAGGCCTCTTTATAGCCTCAGGGATGGCGTCGTTGACGTTATTTATTGACGTCACTACACACAATAAAAGTGCAGGAGGACATGTTTACCCTTGCTTCGCGAACGCCTGGTGTCATCACATATTTTCAATGATCATTCATTGCATTTTACAGCTACTTTTCCTTTAAACCCAATGAAATCAGATCTGTTTCGAGGCTGGTTTTTTGTGACTTTGTAGTCGATTTATAGATTCTTTAATCAAAACATTCACACAGGAGTTAAGCAGCTGACATCACACCAACAACGACGTCATAATCAACATGAGTTACGAAGCTGTTTTTTCAAATTGCAGTTACTTCATAATCGTACCTCCTTTTGACAGATTCCCGTATGCTGATAATGGAATACTCGCCTTTGGGAAATCTCCTTCAGTTTTTACGCAAGAAACGCCTCAAGGTCTCCAGATCCGCCCTCACAACGTTATTGTCCAACGACTCAGAGAATCAAAGCAATGATGATGAAAGTGCCAACCTTGGTCTGACTTCGAAACAACTGACGATGTTCGCCTATCAGATTGCAAAGGGGCTTAGACATCTTCATAGGAACAGAGTAAGCATTTACCGATATATGGAAGTTTTTCTGAAGGCAATGGTTTTCTTGAAAGGATAAGACAGCATATTTTTACAGTACCCTCCTAAACACCGTCGCGTGCGTCATATCATGATGTCATGGCGATTGCTGTGACGTTACTTTTTCCGCGAAACAGCAGACACAGTTCTCTCATTGAATATCAACACGGCGTTCGACGGTTTGAACAATGTCCAACACCGAATATCATAAGCTCGTAGTGTACATCTGTCTCATGTGAGGTGAGGTGAAATTGGGTTTAACGTCGTGCTTGAGAATATTTCGCTCATATGACGACGAGCATGCGTGTGTATGTGTATGTGCGGCTTCTTGTACTAGTTCAGACTAAAGCTGGTTTTATAGTGCTAGCCCACTGAGATACCATGCCGCAGTGAAGCATGAATACCCCACTCAGACACATTATACTGACTCCGAGCCGACCAGTCTTTGTTGTGCCTATTAATGCCAAGCGCCAGGCAGGGACCAACAAGTACCATATTTTAACGTCTTTTGGTATGACGTGGTCGGGCCTGTCTCATGTACAACACAATTCTGTCCGAATAGTTCGATGTTCTGCCAAAGAGGGAGTGTGAACGTCGGTTGGACAACTTGTAGTTCAGGGCCTAGATTTTCGAAGCTCTCTTAGTACTCAGATAGTCGTAAGTTAATGTTAATGTATGGCATTTACGACTATCTTAGCGCTAAGAGAGTTTCGAAAATCTAGGCCCAGAATTCTTTTGTCGGTTTTACACTCACAGCGCAATAAATTTATAGATGAATTTTTTTTGTCAGATAATTCATCGTGACGTGGCTGCCAGGAATGTGCTACTGTTTGACAACTTGCTATGCAAGGTCGCCGACCTTGGTCTGGCGCGGCATCTGTCGGACTCTGATGGCGACGTTTACGAGACGAAATCGGAGGTACGCAGTTCAACCATACACTATCTCGGGACGACTCTATGGACAGCTAATGTCAAGCTACCGGAGATAATCCATTTGTGCATTATAATATTCCATTCTATTTTTCTGGAACATCCGAACAAACAACATCCAAGTTCTTTCAGAGACATTTTAGAAGTTGTAAAGATGAAGGAAAACCAGTTTTCTATGGATAGTCAACTTCTTTATTGCAATGAGTGCGACGTTTCTATGTAGGTACTAACACCGTTATCAAGTTGTGTCAGTACCTACACTGAAACTTCGTACTCATTGCCATGAAGAAGGTTTCTACATCCAACTGCCGATACAAAAAAACACAAATGATCCTGTACAGAAATTAGAACCCTTGAAAACTTACACTAGTTAACACTTTTGATTAAAATTATTTTTTCTAAAAATAAGATAACCTATATACCTTTTTGTGGCTCACATAGAACTCTTTTTGTGCAAATGTGAATAAGATAATATATACGTTCAGTGATAAATCAGTTTGGCTTCGATCAATCAGATGCATTATGGTGATGTTGAACCTGTCTTTCATCTTGAATGGGGTTCACCTTGTCGCGCGGTAGTCGAGTCTTTAATGTTATTTAATTATGTCAGGAATGGTTTCTCAGATCCAAATCTCCATTGTTGTCATGGTTACTGTGACAGGGGCCCCTCCCTGTGCGCTGGATGGCCCCTGAGTCTCTCCGAGACCGCATCTACAGCTACAAGTCTGATGTCTGGTCCTACGGCATCCTGCTCTGGGAGATTGTTACACTCGGTAAGTATACTCCCCATGGAGCAGAGAATATGGATATTTGAGTATTACCGTTCAGTTTTGGAAATGAATAGGCGTTCAGCTTCTGACGTTTGTCACAAAATGTTGATTGGATTGTCGGACGGTGGGACTGAGACTGTCCAGTTATGGTCACCTGAACACTTCCAGTCATTTGAACTACGACCGTTACACTTTATGGTATTTACATTTTACAGCCGCTTTTAATAACATCTCTCCGTAGACTCCAAAGTAGAATATATTTTATTTGAAATGGTTTAATCGCTTTTAGAAGAATACTCTTGGAGTATTGAAAGGGTTATACTGCTTCTAGCAGAATATTCACTGAGTTCTGAAATGGTTTTATCACTGCTATTAATATAAACTCTCCCTAGACACCGAGGCAGAATATTTTATTTGAAAAGGTTTTATCGCTTTTTTTAGCAGAATATTCTTGGAGTACTGAAAGGGTTTTACCGCTTCTAGCAGAATATTCATTGAGTTCGCATATTTTACTTTGCTTTATTGCAGTAGATACACTGTGATACACTGTGATACACTGTGTATATTACCCTCATTTTTATGATTGATAAAGGATCATTCTTAAACTATGTTTCGTCAATCTGTATAATCCGGACGGTTTGTTAGCTACATGAACTGTTCTCCATGATTACTTGGATTCACGTGATTACTTGAATAATCACAGATGAAGTCACGTGGTCTGTGATGTGTTTGCACAGGGGGCAGCCCATACCAAGGGAGGTCTGCCCACAAGGTCGTGCAGGACGTACTGAATGGACAGACGATGTCCAGGCCTGACCACTGTGCCCCCGAGCTGTGAGTTATTGGGAAGATGGTTGATATCAGCAGATGTTATTGGTTACAGGGCTGTCATTTGTCGGAAAATGAATATAGCTGGTTGATATTAACAGGTGTTATTGGTTACGGGGTGGTGAGGTATTGGAAAAAATGAATATAGTTGGTTGATATTAGCAGATGTAATTGGTTACAGAGTTGTCAGTTATTGGGAAGATGAATATAACTGGTTGATATCATCAGATGGTCTTTGCTTCAGTGCAACACTCTGACTTTATCTAAATTTCATTATTAAGTTCGCATTATATTCCAGTAATAATACGCGTGGAGCATACAAGCAGAGATTGTGGAATAACCATGACATGTTTGTCTGACCACATACAATTAAGGCGGTTTATTGGCACAGCTTATAACTCAAAGATATTTTCATCTGACTGGTTAGATCAAAGGCAAATGTTCACATAAACCATGCTTTCAATGACATAAGATTGTCCAATAACCCTCTGAAATTGCTAAAGTTCTTACCAATGCGAAAACGCCGATATAAATGTAATGTCTCGACACTGAGCACGTATCAAGGTCTATTTTCGCAAACTTAGCCTGGCATATCTGATAATAATGAAAGCTCGCTGTCAAAATGTCAGTGGAACGAAAATCTTGAAGATAAATACGTTATCAATCATTCCCTGTGGCATATGGCTTGATATACCTTGTGTCAGTGCACATGTACCTGAACAGCGGGTATACCACCCCTGACTATCAACAATCAATATAATGAAAGTCTATCCGTGACGAAATGCTCAATGACAACAGGTTTATTTGGACACCTGACACTATCGTTAAAAAAGGTATGAAGGTGAGTTCGTTGCAAAGTATATATTTGTTCACATAAACCATGCTTTCAATGACATAAGATTGTCCAATAACCCTCTCTGGAAATTGCTAAAGTTCTTACCAATGCGAAAACGCCGATATAAATGTAATGTCTCGACACTGAGCACGTATCAAGGTCTATTTTCGCAAACTTAGCCTGGCATATCTGATAATAATGAAAGCTCGCTGTCAAAATGTCAGTGGAACGAAAATCTTGAAGATAAATACGTTATCAATCATTCCCTGTGGCATATGGCTTGATATACCTTGTGTCAGTGCACATGTACCTGAACAGCGGGTATACCACCCTGACTATCAACAATCAATATAATGAAAGTCTATCCGTGACGAAATGCTCAATGACAACAGGTTTATTTGGACACCTGACACTATCGTTAAAAAAGGTATGAAGGTGAGTTCGTTGCAAAGTATATATTTGTTATCCATAAAAAGTGCGTTCACTACCCACATTTCCTTCCTACAGATTCGACAGTGTTTATTTGTTTTGAATAAAAGGATATGCTGTAGTAAAATTATACTGCTTCCTTTAATGTCTTGAAACACACTTTCCTGCAATGTTTCAATATTAGAATCTATTTATTTTACGTGTGAATTAAGAAGCTGGGCCTAGATTTTCGAAGTTCTCTTAGCGCTAAGATAGTCGTAAGTACCATACATTGACATTAAGTTACGACTATCTTGGCGCTAAGAGAGCTTCGGTGTTAAGCTGCTGATCCAACACAGCGCTAGAGCTTCTCGTTCTGCAGGTTCTCTCTGATGAATGAGTGTTGGCGACAGGATCCGGAGTCCAGACCTGACTTTGATGTTCTGAGCCGAAACCTTGACACCCTGTTGGAGGAGTCTAGCAACTACATCAAGCTGTTGGACTACCAGGATCATCTGTACACGATCATCCAGGGGTCGTGTAAAAGTGATGCAGAAGAAAAACTCTGACAATTTTTAATTGATGTGCATCCATCAAATTGAAACAACCCATAGTATAATATACTTGTGACATCATTTCCAGGGGCGTAGCTACGATTATAAAAGGAGCCTAGCTTACACATGATTGTTGCTGTGAAAGTTGGGCAAGCCCTCAATACTATCCAGATATAAAGCTTTGCAACCTATCGGACGAAG